CATATAAACTGACGTTTTCCCAGCCACTATCAGTTCTGAGGAAGGGTCACCGGACCCGAAACGTTAACTCTGTTTTCTCCTTCACAGATGCTGCCAGACCTGCTGAGCTTTTCCAGCAACTTTGTTTTTGTTCCTGATTTACAGCATCCACAGTTCTTTTGGTTTTTAAATATTTTGTATCAGTGTTTACTGTGGAGAAGGATATGGAAGATACAGAATGTGGGGTAATAAATAGTAACATCTTGAAAAACGTCTACATTACAGTGGTGGTGGTGGACGTCTTCAAACGCATAAAGGTGGATAAATCCCTAGGACCTGATCAAGTGTACCCTAGAACTTTTTGGGAAGCTAGGGAAGTGATTGCTGGGCCCCTTGCTGAGATATTTGTACCATCAGTAGCCACAGATGAGGCGCTAGAAGACTGGAGGTTGGCTAACATGGTGCCACTATTTAAGAAAGGTGGTAAGGAAAAGCCAGGCAACCAAAGACTGGTGAACCTGACATTGGTAGTGGGCAAGTTGTTGGAGGGGATCCTGAGGGACAGGATTTACATGTATTTGGAAAGGCAAGGACTGATTCGGGATAGTCAACACGACTGTGCGTAGGAAATTGTGTCTCACTAATTTGATTGAGTTTTATGAAGTAGTAACGAAGAGGACTGATGAGGGCAAAGCAGTGGATGTTGCCTAAATGGACTTCAGTAAGGCGTTTGACAAGGTTCCTCATGGTGGACTGGTTAACAAAGTTAGATCACATGGAATAGAGAGAGAACTAGCTATCTGGATACAGAACTGGCTCAAAGATATAAGACAGAGGGTGGTGGTGAAGGGCTGTGACCAGCAGGGTGCGACAAGGACAAGTGCTGGGTCCACTGCTTTTCCTCATTTGTATAAATGATTTGGATGTGAATATACAAGTGATGATTAGTAATTTTGGAGAAGACACCAAATTTTGAGGCATAGTGGACAGTGAAAAAGGTTACCTCAGAGTACAATGGGACCTTGATAAGATGGGTCAATGGGCCGAGCAGTGGCAGATGGGAATTTACTTTAGATAAATTTGAAGTGCTGCATTTTGGAAAGGCAAATAAGGGTAGGAATTGTACAATTAATGGTAAGGTCCTGAGGAGTGTTGCTGAACAAAGAGACCTTAGGGTGCAGGTTCATAGTTCCTTGAAAGTGGAGTCACAGGTAGACAGTAGTGAAGGCAGCATTTGGTATACTTGCCTTTATCGGGCAGTGCATCGAGTATGGGAGTTGGGAGGTCATGTTGCGGCTGTACAGGACATTGGTTAGGCCACTTTTGCAATATTGCATTCAATTCTAGTCTCGCTGCTATAGGAAAGATGTTGTGAAACTTGAAAGAATTCATAAAAGATTTACAAGGATATTGCCAGGGTTGGAGGGTTTGAGCTTTAAGGAGAGGTTGAATAGACTGGGTCAGAGGCTTAGGATGGCCTTAGGGGTTTACAAAATCATGAGGCGCACGGATAGGGTAAATAGACAAGATCTTTTGCCAGGGGTGGGGGGTGGAATTTAAAAGGGACCTAAGCAGCAACTTTTTGACACAGTGGATGGTGCGTGTATGGAATGAGCTGCCAGATGAAGTGGTGGAAGCTGGTTTGATTGCAACATTTAAAAATTTTTGATGGGTTTAGGAATAGGAAGGATTGAGGGGGATCTAGGCCAAATACTGGCAAATGGGACTAGATTTATTTAGGATATCTGGTCAGCATGGACAAGATGGACAGAATGGTCTGTTTCTGTGCTGTATATCTCTAGGACAATGACTCTAATCTGCTGTCACCATGCTATTGGCATAGCTTGTATTTCCAGACTCAGCTAATTTATTGGTTGCAGTCATCAAACCAATAAATTTGAATCAAGTCTGAATTTTGTAATTCATTAAAGGTTGTATGCACTTTCAAAGTAAAATTAGACATTTATTCAATAAACACACCTGATTCTGAAGGTATCTGGTCTCTAACTCGTACAAAAATGTTGCCTAAGAAAGATAAACAAAAAATAAAATTACAAAGTAAAATTTGCAGCAAACATTGGTGAGATGGATAAGAAACGTAATTCTGATCAGGAATTTTGAAAGAATGATTTTTTTGAAAATGAATGGGATGTTGCACTTAAAAGCTATCACACATCAACTAGCTATCTAGGAAATATCACCAAAAAAAGGGAGGGATAGTACTGGAATCAATCTTTGCATTCATTTACAGAATTAAACATTGCAAGCATACAGCTAACTATCAGTTTCAACAAGCTTTTCTTGTGCTCAAGCAAAGCCTTACTTAATGCTGTCCTTCTGCATAAGAGGCAACGTAATTAATATGCAGCTAACAAGCTGGACCTGCTGAGATTCCAACTGGACTTTGGTGCACTTTTGATTTCTCAGTTTCATTCATGCAGAGTACATTCTATCAAAGAAACCCACTTTTTTTCAGGCTGTAGTTCATTTTTGTACTGTTTACAGTTACAGAGCAGTAATGTAACTAGACTAGGCTAATACTCCGGGAATGTGGATGTGAATTTCACTGTGCAAAGCTAGGGGAATTTAATATCAAGGCATAAATCTGGAATTAAAATTAGTGTCAGTGATGCTGACCACAAGATTACCATTGATTATCATAAAATCCTGTTTACGGATGGAAATCTACCAATCTCGGCTGGTCAGGTCTGTATGGGACTCCAGATCCACAGCAATGTGGTCGACTCCTACTGCTGTCAAAGACCATTAAGGATGGGCAATCAATGCCAGTGAAACCCACATCTCATGAAAGTATCAAAAAGACCGACCATCACCGACTTCTAGTGAGATTCCACCCTTTGTCATTTTTTTCAGTGATGGCAAACGCAACAGTATGAATACTGCAATAGCTGTTCCAAGTTAACTCTGTCTAGTTTACAATCAATCTGTCACTCAATCACATGGCTCAGAATCACACTGGGTGATACATTAACCTTCAGAGTATTTTTTTCCTTTCTTGAACTCACTTCTTTGGTCTGCTTTCCAGCTAAAGAACTGACTTCAGTTCAGCAGTGAGCCTTGCAACAGTGTTAGGTGGTTACTTACCGGAAGGCCAGGAATAAAAATCTTCACATAGAGCTGTGTTAAACTGTAAGAAAAGTAGAAGATTCTGGTAACTTACTGGTAACTGGTAACAACGAACACCAAAACAAATTCAAAACACAACTGGAAGATCACATAATGCATCAAGCACATTAATGCGGCAATCCAAAAGTAAGGGGAAAGAGGCAGCCTGGTTTGGTGCTCAACAAACATGGTACATGCTCCCAACAATATAATTCATCTAAACTACAACTACAGCCTCAATCAAACTCAATTAACAGGTAACTAAGGGTTGCGCAATTTGGAATAAACTTTCCTCTTTCAAAAGAAAAAGGTTTGGGACAGACGTTTGTGGTTTTGAAAGCACAAGTGCCAGTTTAGTGATACGGTTTTTCACTTCACTTCTAGATGCTTCAACATCAGTTACAGGAAATAGTCCAATTTGACAATAGTGAAACAGGGAAACCCATTTTAGATAAATGTTCCGAAGATGCCTAATTCGAGGAAATCCTAGTGCAGAAAGGGAAGTCTGTTGACAGCCAATAGCGAGGCTTTCTCAGACTGCAAACTTCCCAAGTGGTTTTAAAGCTAAATGACACAAGCGGTTTTCAAATAGAGAGGACTCTACGCCCAAGTTCAGCAACCCTACTCAGTTCTTCATGGTGACAACCGTATCGACAGAAATTTCTTGCAAAATCATTTTCTCAACAAAAGGTAGGATACTTTGAAGAAAAAGTATTCCCCTTACACCAGGAATTCTGTCATACAGCATCACAAGGGAACAAGCACTTTCAATTCAAGAGAAAAGAAAGCAGATATATTCTCAAAAAAAAAAAGGGTCACAGGACACAAAACGTTAACTCTGACTTCTCTCCATAGTTGCTGCTAGACCTACTGAACTTTTCCAGCAATTTCTGCTTTTGTTTCAGATAACATTCTTAACCGAGAACATGGCTCCAACCTGCCTATGACAGAATGACCATGGCCACAGAGAGCACTACTGTCTGCAATTTTCAACCTGTCTACTCAGTGAAGGGCTTGGGGAGTAATTACTCACAACAGAAAGAATTGCTGCCTTAAATTAGAGCTGAATCTGCATGTGAGCAGAAGTTCACTGTTAGCTCTTCCACTTGAGTCTGAAGGTTGTGGGGACAAGTCCCACTCAAAAGAGATATCCTTAATGTCACTGCTGATTACTACTGAGTGAACGTTACACTGTTGGAGGTGCTGCTGTTCAGGTTGGTCTGCCTCCACAATTGGACAAAACATGCCTTAAAGTCAGGGCAATTCTCCTAGTGTCATCAGGCAACCTTTAGCCGACATCTGTTGTCATTTATCTCATTGCTGCTTATGGGTGCACAATTCAACTGTCATACTTCAGTATGTGATGTATATGAAGAATCAGAAAGAACTCTGAACTGCCTTTTGATTGGAAAAGATGCCCATTTGATTGATTGATTTTGCATCCACGACCTTCAGCATTCACTCACTCCACCAGTGATGTACATGGCAGCAACATGTACCATCTACAAGATGCAGTGCAATAATTCATCCAGATTCCTTCTACAACACCTTCCAAATCCATGACCACTACCATATAAAAAGGACTACAGCATCAACCACAAGGCAAAACTACCATCTGCAAGCTTCTCTCCAAGCCACACAACTCCCAATTTGGAATCATATCGCCATTCCTTCACTGTTGCTCTTTCAAAATCCTGGGACTTTCTCCTGAACAGCCTTGTGGGTGTTCCTACGTCACAAGTGCTGTAGTGGTTCAAGAAGGCAGGTCACCATCACCTTCTGATGAATGAATGCTGGCAAAGTCAGCGATACCAACATCCCACGAACAAGTAAGAAATAAAAAAAAAAAGTTTATTATCATAGAAAAATAAAAAGGCAGAAATGTGTTCACAAGTTTAACACCCAAAGTTCTCACCATTTCCAAACCAACCAGACAGTATGTGGCCAGTTATGCAATTTCCCCACAGCAAAATGCATTGCTTAACCTCTCGTTTCACCATTGCTTAATTCTGACCAGAGATTAGAACTCCTCTCTATCAGTTTGGATACCTTTCTTCTGACATGATTCCTGCGACCTACCAGCCACAACCCAATTCCTCGTGTGCACCAAGTTTCTTGCTCAGTGGAATGTGACACAGGGTGAATTTCCTTTCTTTAAAAGGATTTCTACACAAACCACCAATAGATAAAAGAACCGAAAGAACTGCTGGATGCTGTAAATCAGGAACAAAAACAAAAGTTGCTAGAAAAGCTCAGCAGGTCTGGCAGAAACGGAGGAAGGGTCACCAGACCCAAAACATTAACTCTGTCTTTTCCTTCACAGATGCTGCCAGACCGGCTGAGCTTTCCCAGCAACTTTGTTTTCAAATAGATAAAAGGACACTCACTTGGCCACCTCTGGAGGCTGCTTGAAAGCCAACAGGATGTGTTCAATGTTAATAAAGAGAGCCCAACAGGGAAAGCAGGTGAGCAGGAGAATGAGAATCCCTCTTTGTAGAATCACTCCAATTCGCTTCAGGTTCTTACTACCAAATGTCTGAAAATCAGAACAAAATCAAGCTTTATTTTTTGCAGCTCCAGATTGTCTTTTGGAATAATTACATAACTGTTTGATACAGTTAACTCAATTTACTCAAAAGACTAACTGCAACAAAGTACCTTTCCACAGCAACAAAAAGTACAACTCCTGTACTCCTTGCGTAATATTATCTTAAAATTACAGGTCATGCCTAGTGAAAAGAAAAGATTCAAGTGATAAATTCAAAGGGGATGTTTCAATCCATGAAACTGCGAGTGTATTTTTTGAAAAAGAGGATACATTAACTCATCGCAGATTAATCCCAACTTCTTATGCAAGATTGATTTAATATTTTATGCTTTCTTGCTTCTGTGTAATACTTCATGAATAAATTCCAAAAGGTTCTTCAGCCCGGTAGGATGTGGTTTGTTGTCTGAGGTGATGGGAAATAAAGCTGTCACCCTACAAGTGTTTGAAACTCCCCTGTTTATCAACAGGCTTTCAGCCTCATCTCTAAAGATAAAGATAATGAGAAAAGATTTTTGAACCCATGGTTTTTCAGTCTGGAAGTGATGACCCGAGAAGTGTCTCTACAGAAGTGCATAAAGTACTAAAGGAAATGTAATAAGAAAATATGGAACATTAGTAAAAAAAATATACTTGGAATACGAACTACTTGCATTTATGCAGCACCTTGAGTATAGTAAAATGATTTAAGGGAGCTTCATAGGAACAATCATGAAACAAAATTCAACACTAAGCACTGCAAAGTGATAATTGTACATTACATATAACAAGGTGACCAAAAGCCATGGTCAGAGGGATAGGTTTCAAAAAAAGGTAAATTTAGAACAGATATCAGTTTTTAATTACAGAGTGATCACAAACAGTGGAAATGCATTTCTCTTTTTTTCTAAAAAATCTGCTCAGATAGGTCTCGTGTGGTACAGTGGCAGTACCCCTGGACTAGGAGGCCCAGGTTCAAGTCCGATCTGCTCCAGATATTTAGAATTTAAGTTAAACACTTTTTTTCTTAATTTAACCTATTTTTCTAATCAACTTGTTCAGAGATGTTATTACGCACCTCTGGAACAAATGGGACTTGAATCCAGGTCAGGTTTGAAAACAAAAAAATGCTGGCGATCACAGCGGGTCAGACAGCATCCATGGAGAGAGAGCAAGCTAATGTTTCAAGTCTAGGTGACTCTTCAGCAGAGCTGGTGTGAAGTGTGGAGGTGGGGGGAAGCATTTACGCTATAGTGGGTGTGGGGGGTGCTGAAGTGCTGGGGGAGAGAGGGTATTGATAGTTCAGATTAAGTGATCAGAATGTGAGAATCGCAGAATCTGGAAAGATGGTCTCACGGGAATCGGGGGAAGAAAAAAAAGGACCTACTCTTCTTGGTCCATGGGTAGAGACACAATCACTATACCACAAGAGGGCCCCACATCAAGTTGTAAAAAAAAACTAAACTATTTAAGAAGCAGCCTTCTTTGTCTGCAATGACCTTGGTAAGTAATAGTATTGCAGGAATTTATAAACTTGCAGAATGCGATAAATGCACTTACACAAAGGCCACAGCAGCAATCAACTTGTACTTCAATGTTATATTGAATCTTTCACTACTAAATATACATGCAAATTAAAGGAATGAAACAATTTTACAACATACTACATCATTGGATTTGTTAATCAAAATCTTGACTTTCTCATCTGAATTCCTTGGGAATCTCATTCACTACTGGAACTAGAGACAATAACTACGATCATTAATCTAGAATGCTGTCATTAGCGGCAAGGAAAATTAAAAGGAACAAATGAACAGTTGTATGTATCAGTGAAGCACTATCTACATTCCAATCAGTGCATGTTAGAATTTGCATTAAAATCAGTTTTGATTGTGAAACAGATTAGAATTAGCAAAGAAATCAACATAAAACCAGTACGATGCTACTCAGTGGATTAACCTTCACAGCCAACAGCAAAGAAGTTTAAGGAAGTCAATAACTTTCTGCATTCACTAGCAGTCCAGTCTGGATTATGCACCTACCTGAGATATGAGAGTGTCACATGCTGAAGACAACCCAACACCTATTGAAATGCCTGATATATTTATAACCTGTGACAATGAAACAAACAAACAATGAATCATTGTTGTAGGTACTATTGCTATGCTACCACAAAAATTTAAGTGTTAATCCAGTTTACTGAACATAATATTTTCTCATATGCTTACTTTTTTTCTTCCAAAAATACTGTAATCTATCAGTACCCAAGACACTGAAGCCATTCTTAAGCAAACAGTTTGGAAGCCAAATTATATGAGCATTTGTCGCAAAGTTACAAGTGCAGCAAAGGAGTCTTGCTTCAATTGTATTGAACACTATTGAGATCACACCTGGAGTTTGTATATAGTTCAGGTTCACTGTCTTAAAAAGAGAATATTAGCCATAAAGGGATTGCAGCGGAGGTTCCCCAGACTGATTCATGGAATGGTGGGACTGTCCTATGGGAAGAGAAATCAAGGAGACTGAGCCTCTGTCCTATCAAGTTTAGGAGAATGAAAGGAGATCTTATTGAAACTTATTAAACTCTTAAAAAGGAATATATATGAGTAGAGACAGATAGGATACTTCTGTTGAGTCTAGACCAGGGAATACAGTCTCCAAATAAAGCGATAAGCATTTAGGATTGAGATGAGGAGGAACTTCTTCATTCAGAGAATGGTGAAACTCTGGAATACTCTCCCACAAAGGGCTGTGTAAGTTCAGCCTTTGAAGGTTCAAGACAGATTGATGGCTTTCTAGTTATTACCTAATAATAAAGGGCTATGAAGTCAATGTGTGAATTTGCATTGAGGTAGACAATCAGCCACGATCTTGAATGGTAGGGCACATGCAAGGGAATGAAAAGCCTATTTCTGCTCCTAAATTCCTAATTCTGGAATTTCAACCGGACATCCAGGTTAGTAAGCACAGTGACTGACTCTCCACAGTGAACAGATTCAGTGAAAAGTCTCATGCAAAATCCCCAAAAACCAATCTTTTCAAGATTCATCATTGTATTGCAATTGCCAGAAAGACAATCATTTATATAGCATATTTTTTTAGGTTCGGGGGGGGTCCTAAGGTGCTTTACAACTAATGAAGTAAACTTGAAGTGAAATCGCTGTTGCAATGTAGGAAACAACATCAGCCAAATTGCACACAGCAATATATCCCCTTCCCACCTATAAAAAAAAACTTTAGTTTCCATTACTCATCCACAGGATGTGGCAGGTTTTTGTTTACCCAGTCATTGAATATCCCAATATGAAAACAGGCCCTTTGGCCCATCATATCTATGCTGGTCAACAAGCATCAGTCTCTTATTTCCTAGCACTTGGCCTTTAGCCTTATTTGCCGTGGCATTGCAAGTGTTCATTTCAATACTTCTCAAAATACTCCCTACCACCTATTCAGGCAGTGAGTACCAGATACCCAACACCTTCTGGATAAAAATATTTCACCTCAAATCCCTTTAAAACCCGCTTTCCCGTACCTTAAACCTATTCCCCAAGAATTGACACATTTAAGTTTATTCCTATCGACCCTAGCTACACCCTCAATTTTAAGTATCTCACCTCAGCCTTCTCTGCTCTAAAGAAAACAACCGAAGTGTGTGCAACTTCTCTTCATAACTGAAACACTCCAGCCCAGGCAACATCCTGGTAAGTCTCCTCTCACCTTCTCCATAGCAGTCACTTCCTTCCTATAGGGTGGCAAACAGAACTGTACACTATTCTGACTGTGGCCCAACTAACATGCTATACAGCTCAGCAGGTCTGGCAGCATCTGTGAAGGAAAAAGCACAGTTAACATTTCTGGTCCGGTGACCCTTCCTCAGACCTGCTGAGCTTTTCCAGCAACTTTGTTTTTGTTCCTGTTCCTGATTTACAGCATCCACAGTTCTTTTGTTTTTTATGCTGTACAGCTCCATCGTAACCTTAACATTAGGAACAAATTACTGCAGATGCTGGAATCTGTACTGAAAGCAACAAATGCTGAAGATCACGGGGGTCAGGCAGCATCCATGGAGAGAGAGCAAGCGAGCTAATGTTGAGTCTAAATGACTCTTCAGAGCTCTGAAGAAGAGTCATCTTGCACAAAACGTAAGCTTGCTCTCTCTCCATGGATGCTGCCTGACCCCCCATGATCTTCAGCATTTGTTGCCATCAGTCCATCATAACCTCCCAGCTCTTGTATCAAATGCTTTGGCTAATAAAAGCAAGTGTCCCATATTCCTTCTTAACCAGCCTATCTGCTCTGTTGCCTTCAAGGATCAAGAGACATGCACACAAAAGTCCAGTGATACTCACTACCACCCAGGATCCGACCAGTCATCATGTACTTCCTTGCCTTGTTCATCCTCAAAAAAAAAAATGCACTGCTTCACACTTTTCAGGATTAAAGTCCACCTACCTCTGGTGTGCTCACCTAACTGGCCCATTTATATCTTCCTGTCATCTAAAGCTTTCCTCCTCACTATTCAGAACGCCAATTTTAAGTGTCATCTGCAAATTTACTGATAAAACCCTCATAAATGTGTCTAAGTCATTAAATGTACACTGCAAACATCAAGGGACCTGACACTGAACCCTGCCATACTCAATCCATTTAACATTGGTGAACCACCTTGACAATTGAGTGGTTTACTAGACTATGTCAGAAGGCAGTTATGAGTAAACCACATTGCTACGAGTCTGGAATCATGAGTAGGCTAAAGAGAGCAGATTTGCTTCTGTAAAGGCATTAGTGAATTAGACGACAATCCGAATATTTATGACAGTCTACTAATGACTATTAGCTTCAAACTTATTGAATTAATTGACCCTAAATTTCTTATCTCCTGTGCTGCAATTTGAACTTTTATCTTCTACTCATGTGGTAAGGTTTGATGATTACTACTCCAGTAACAACCACAATAAAGGGTCTAGGCCCGAAACGTCAGCCTTCCTGCTCCTATGATGCTGCTTGGCCTGCTGTGTTCATCCAGCTCTGCACCTTGTTGTCACAATTCTACTATTCCTGGTTTTAATTATGTCAATTGAGAAAATAAATATTGGCCAAGTCACTGAGGAATAATCCTCCCGCTTCTCTTTGAAATAGTCCCATAGGATCTTGGACATCCCTCTGAGAAGGCAGGCTGCATCTTGGTTTTACACTAAATCTGAAAGACAGCACAGCTCTGACAGCGTGGCACTCCCTCAGTTCTGCAGCAGGAATGGCAACCTGGATATTGTGCTCAAATCTCTGGAGTGGGACTTGGAGCTCTGACTCAGTTTACTCAGTATCATGCCTAAACAGAACCTTCAGCATATATTTTCCTCCTAACTGAATGAAGGCACTCTTTTCTCTTCTGATAGCAGTTTGATCAGAACAGACCTGTGATTTCTCAGGCTGTTTGTATCAGCGTTGTCATCTGAATTTGTTTTTAAGTTTGAAAAAGCACTTGACTTATTAATTAATACAATTAAAATTTATATGATCTACTGCATAGCTTGTAGATTATAAAACAGATCCTTCTATCCAATAAGTCATTGTAGACATACTTACAGCTGTGGCAAGTGAAACAGCATCCAACTCTACTTTTCCCAAATGTCCACAGAATACAGAGCTGACAATACTTATATTAAAGACCATCAGGTGAGAGAAAAACTGTTGGAAAAAAAAAGATGAAATTGGCCATCAGGCTTTATTCAAAACACCTCCTTAAAATCCACTTGATTGGCACCATAACCATCATATAAAACATTCCCCACCCATGACAGACAGTACAGAATGCAACATTGTCCATCTACATGATGCATTGGAGAAATCCATCAAAGCTTCTTCAAAAGCACTTCTGAAATTCGTGACCTTGGCCAGCTAGAAGGACAAGAGTACACTACCAGCGCCTGCAAGTGACACACCACCCTGACTCAAAAACTATTCGGCATAGAATCCTGACAGTGTGGAAGCAGTCCATTCAGTCCATTCAGCCCATCAAGTCCACACTGACCCTTCAAAGACCATCCCACCAGAACCACCCCATCCCTGTAACCCTGCATCTCCCATAGCTAATCCACCTAACCTGCACATCTTTGGAGTCTGGGGGAAAAAAAACAGAGCACCTAGAGGAAATCCATGCAGACACAGAGAATGCGCAAACTCCACACAGACAGTCGCTCAAGGCTGGAATCAAACCAGTTCCTTGATGCTATGAAGCAGCAGTGCTAACTAATGAGCCACTGTGCCATCCTGTCATCGTTCTTTTGCAAAATCCTGGAATTTTGTACCCAACAATGTGCACTGTTCAGTTGTGTGTAACAGCACTTCTGGATACAAGGAAAGAAAGCATCAGTTTGACAGGACCTTCAGCATACAGGCTGCAACCACTTGCCACCATCTTTTCCCATGTAATTAGGAATGTGCAATAAATGTTGGCCTTACTAGTGACACATACATCACGTAAATAAGAGAAAAACTTCATGGATTTTGAAATAGCATAACTAATTTATTATGCTCAATGCACACAGTTCCATGAAACTGAAGATAGTAATAGCATTGTTTTACACAGATATAGTTTAGCAAATTGCCCATAATGTTGTCATCAGTAAAGAAATACGTATTTGTATTACATATGAATGTGCATTCTGTTCTAACTAACTCAATCCCAATAGTAATAAACTGCATTTTCTCCCTACTGACAAATATCACTTAAATGAAACAATACACATTAACTCATGCAAGCACTTTTGTTAGTAAAGACAAAGTCAAGTCAGTTTTAATACTTAAGAATGTCAAGGTCTAGGAGAGCATTTTTAAATTCATTCACAGGGTGTGGGTGGTGCTGACTAGGCCAGAATTTATTGCCCATTCCCAATTGCCTAGAGGGCAGTTAAGAGTCAACTACTTTGTTGTGGGTCTGAATCACACATAGGCCAAACTATGGAAGGAAATGCGATCCTTGAAGGAAATTAGAGAAACATATGGGTTTTTCTAACAATTGATAATGGAGTCAGGGTTATCATTAGACTCTGAATCCCATGGCAGGATTTGAATCCAGGTCCCCAGGACATGACCTGTGTCTCTAGATTTACAGTCCAGCAATAATACCACTAGGCCATCACCTCCCCAGGAATGGTATCAGAGTTTTTTCTAAGTTATTCTCTCGTGGGATGTGGCCCTCACTGGCTGGGGCAACACTCACTGCCCATCCACAGCTGCCCTTGAGATGTGAGGATGAGTTGCCTTCTTGAACTGCTGCAATCCATGTGCTGGTGGTAGACCCACACGCCATTGGGAAGGGAATTCCAGGATTTTGACCCAGTGATCTGCAGACCTGAGAAACTGAGATTGTTCAAGGGATTTCATAGAGATGATCAGAATTATAAAATGACTTATGTTAGAGTCAAAAAGGAGAAACGGATTCCAATGGCAAAGAATTGTGGACCAGATGATACAGATCAAAGACAAATAAATGACACTTTTTGCTTGCAATCAAGTGGTGGAACCAGATTAAATATCATTAATATTCCAAAAGGGAATTGAAGGGGTGAGCAATAGGGAAAGGGGAGTGAAGTGGACTAAGTGCATAACTAATCCAAACAGAAGGTACAAGGCATGATGGGCTAAATGGCTTAAGTGTGTTGCATCAATCACAAGATGGCAACATTAGAGAAGATTTCTTCTGTGTAGCTAGAGGGAGTAGAACATTCAACTACACTATGACAGTAGACAAAGACTGAAGAAGAAATATTGATGCATAGTTTATGAACAGCAACCCATCCTATCCACATAACCCTACACTTCCCATGGCTAATCCACATAGCCTGCACATCCCTGGATACAATGGACAATTTAGCACGGTCAGTCCACCAAACCTGCACATCTTTGGACTGTGGGAGGAAACCAGAGCACCTAGAGGAAACCTACACAGACGCAGGGAGAACATGCAAACTCTACGCAGAGGTAACCAAGGGTTGAAACGAACCCAGGTCCCTGGCACTGTGAGGCAGCAGTGCTAATCAGAGTCACCATGCTGCACTGTATGCAAACAAAATAAATGCAAGAACTGTGGATAGGAAGCACCCACTCTAGACGACTATAGATTTTTGAACTTTACTTCCAGAGAATTCCTACAGTGTGGAAACAGGCCCTTCGGCCCAACAAGTCCACACCGATCCTCAGAGCATCCCACCCAGACCCATTCCCCAAACCCACCTAGCCTGCACATCAGTGAACACTATGGGCAACTTAGCATGGCCAATCCACCTAGCCTGCACACCTTTGGACTGAGGCAGGAACCCAGAGCACCCAGAGGGAGCAGACACAGGGAGAACGTGCAAACTCCACGCAGACAGTTGCCCCAGGTGGTGGGAGGGTGGAAAAATCGAACCCAAGCCCCCTGATTTAGGGAAAGATGATAACCCCATTTGTTTTTAATACTGGCTTCATGAGAAGGTAGCATAGGTTCTGTACTGTATGACAGTATGACTATAACAGCACAAAAAACAGATTTACAGGTCCTGAAGAAGGATCACTGGGTTCCAAAATGTTAACTCTGATGTCTTTCCACAAATGCTACCAGACCGGCTGAGCTTCTCTGGCAATTTCTGTTTTTCTTTCAGATTAACTGGTTATTCATTTCATCTGTTTCCGTGATCTTACAGGGCACAGAGATAACAGATGAATCTGGGACTTGGGGGAAATCAACGACTGAGTCAAAGATAATTACACCACAATCTAAATCACTTTCATTTGGTCTTGGCCCCTTCTATGCAGTGCTGGGGGCTTTTAGGATCAAAGGCGGGGCCTCAGCCTCTCACCCCCAATTAATCACGGCTGATCATATCCTTCAACTCTATTGTAATGTTAAAATAATAAGTAATCTATCAGTCTAGGTCTAGAATGCACTTTATAATGAGCTTTCAGCATCCTCTGCGGTAATGAATGGCAAAGATCGAGAATCATTTTAACTTCTATTATAACGCTTCAGATGGAAACTCACCACTGGGCCAGCCAGTCGGGACAGCTCCCTCACTTCCTTCCAGAAACTGCCGTCGCTTACACCGAACACTGTCCTTAACATTAACCGCCCCGAGGTGCCTGTCGTCGGTGTGACATCGCTGAAGCTCACGGCTGGGGACTGGGCCATGACCCGGCTCTGTGAGCCGCTTCCTGGGACTTGGAGCCGCGGCCTTCACTGCGCCAGGGGTTTCAATGGGAGCAGCGTCCCCCGGGGGCTCCAGGTGAGTGTAGAAGTGCGGGGGGCGGGTCTCTGGGGCCGGGGAGCACCGGGCTCTCCGGGTGTCTCAGGCCGGGGACCGCCGAGCTCACCTTGCAGTGCCTCGGGCCGGGGAGTCCAGGTATCTCCAGGCAACGGCTCACCTAGCTGCACGTCGCCCCAACACCATTAGTGATTGGCCCGAATCCACCGTTCCCTTTCAGAGGCGTCCCCGCGACCCTCCGTCACAGCTCCACCAATCACATGTGAGCTCCACCCCGCCTCCGCCACAAAGTCCAATCAAGTGTTACAGCCACGCCCCTTCCATCATCTCCCCGCCCCCTTCCACCGGCGCCCCGCCCCACACCACCGTCTCCCCGCCCCCTCAGTGTATACCCGCCCCTTAAACACGGCCCCGCCCTTTCCACCACGGCCACGCCCCCTTTTCCACACACGCACCCTTTACCCCACTGCAGTGGTAGTGTCCACACCTCTGAGCCAGGTTTCACACTTCACCTGCTCCAGCGGTGTGTACAGGATTGTCAGACAGGGTGGCATGGTGGCTCAGTGGTTAGCACTGCTGCCTCACAGCGCCAGGGACCCAGGTTCGATTCCACCCTCAGGCGACACATTCTCCCTGTGTCTGTGTGGGTTTCCTCCGGGTGCTCCGGTTTCCTCCCACAGTCCAAAGGTGTGCAGGGGCTAGGTGGATTGGCCATGCTAAATTGCCCCATAGTGTTCAGATTATGTGGGTTATAGGGGAATGGGTCAGGGTGGGATGCTCTGAGGGCCGGTGTGGACTTGTTGGGCCGAAGGGCCTGTTTCCACACTGTAGGGATTCTACGATGACCTATGATAAAATGGAAAGTGCTGGAGAAACTCAGTATATCTGGCAGTATGTGTGGGAATAAAGCAAAGTTAACACTTTGAGTCCAGTGACCTTACAACCAGAGCCATTACCCTGGGTTGTGAAAATGTTCTTTTCGTCAGTTTGTATGCAAGTCGGAACATAATACAAGTTCAGTTGGCTAGGCGGTTGGGTTGCAAAGCAGAGTGATGCCAACAGTGTGGGTTCAATTCCCATGACTGGCTGAGGTTATCATTAAGGATTCTCCTTCTCAACTTCTCCCCTCCATTGAAGTGTAGTGACCCTCAGGTTAAATCACCACCTATTTGTAGTCGTTTGTAAGTACAGAAAACATTCGTATGTTGGTTCTTTGAAATTGCACACCTGTATGGTATTGCATTTATAAACACAAGTGATCGTAAATTAGACATTACTCCCTGTAAGAATGTCTCTGAATCAGTTGATCAGAAACTATGTCAGTCCCCTCCCCCTACATCATCCTACCATCTGTTATTGCACTGCCCTGTTTCAATTACCCCTATACAATTTCCACAATTACCCCTATCTTCTTCTGCTCTGAGTACCACGCATTCTCTGACAATGCCCCCCAAAGCTACCCCACTGCTGTATCATTGCCCCAACCCTGTACCATTGCTATCCTTGCTTTTCCCCATTACTATCTCACTCTTCCATAATTTCTGCTGGGCTATTTCTCTGCCTACTATTACCCTGCCTTCTATCAATTCCATCCAGCAACATCATTGCCTAGCCCCTGCACCATTGTCTCACATGAGAGAGAAAGGAATATGTTGAAAGGGCTGGGATCCCAAATAGGGTTGCGATGCGAAATTTTGAAACATAGGAACATTGAAGATAGCAGGAAGTGTATGACACTCAATCCCTCCAGCCTGCTATGACATTCAGAATGATCATGGCTGATCATCAAGCTCAGTACCCTAATCCCTCCCTCCCCACCTCCCCATCTGTTCATCTCTTAACCACAAGAGCTATATCTACCTCCTTCTTGAAAACTCATAATGTTTTGGCCTCAATTACTTTCTGGCAGTGAATTCCGCAGGCTCACCATTCTCTGAGTGAAGACATTTCTCCTCATCTCAGTACTAAAAGATTTACTCTTTATCCTAAAAGATTTACTCTTTGTCCTTAAACTAAGACACCTAGTTCTGGACTCTCCCAGCATCGGGAACATCCTTCCAGCATCTACCTTGTCTAGTCCTGTTAAAATTTTATAGGTTTCTATGAGATCCCCCTTCATTCTTCTAAACTGATGAGCTCCAGAGCAGCAATGGCCAATACTCCTCCTCCTGCTCTAATAGGTCCCTCCCTTCCCCTCACTGCATCAATCCTGGACTGCACATCAATGAAGTGGCAAATTTCAAGCCTCTAAATGGGGTCACAGTGGCAAAATGTCAGGAAGCACTGAAATAGATTGTGGAGCATAAATACCAGCTTGGAGCAGGAGTAGGCTATTCAACCCCTCTGGTCTCCTCTCCTATTCAATATGATCATGGCTGATCATTGTGCACAATACCCTAATCCCACACTACCAACCTCCCCTGCCCCTTCATCCCTCAACCACAAGAGCTATATCTACCCAAGGCTTGCTCTGTCTGCTTTTATTGTTTCTCTGTCTTTCTCTGCTTTACAAGAACTGTAATGCTGAACTTTTAACTTTATTTCCTTTTTTCTGTAATTTGTACCTAAGATTTTGTACCTAGGCACCTCAGCACCTATAAGATGGTGTTGGAATGGCTACATTGGAATCTTTTCACTGTACTCCTGTATCCCTCTACTTGAGTACACATGACAATAAAACCTAATTCTAATTCTGTGCTGTAAATGTTAAGTCATAACTTTTTTTGGTGCTGTCGTCACACTGGCTGGTAGTCAGAATCAATAAGGACCATGCAAGATAAAAGCAATGTTGTTGGGTGTGATTGCAGAATAGTAATAAACAGAAGTTGAGTCATTTTACGTTAATATGTGTCAATAGCTGAAATTTGTTTTAGATATTATGGTGGGAATGAACCTACCAGTGCAACTTTTCATTCTAATCCAAGCATGTAACTGCTTTTATTCCTATAAATTATAATCTGGCCTAATCACAGGCTTTTTGCAATGGGTGCATTTTTTTAACAAAAACTACAACCGTTCTTTTTTAATAGGCTATCAGTGTTGACACATGTAAATGAAAACATTAGTTGAGACCCTAATTGTTTTTTCTTGTATTTGTAACCAAGTCACTCTGAACAATCAACAAATCTCCACCAGGCCTGTTGGATTATCGCTTGATTGACATCCAAAAGATACCATTCCTTGCTATTTCACCGAGCCATTGGAAATAGCCTCAAGCAGAAGGATACAATCTCAAACAAAACCAGAAATTTCTGGGAAAGCTCAGCGGGTCTGGCAGCAGCTGTGGAGATAAACCAGAGTTAACGTTTCAGGTCGAGTGACCCTTCCTCAGAACGCATGGTAGCTAGGGAAATGTTTTTCTAGCTACCATCAGTTCCGACATTTCAAACATTTCCCTTGCTACCATCAGTTCTGAGAAAGAGTTGCTTGACTTGAAACATTAACTCTGATTTCTCTCCACAGATGCTGCCAGATCTGCTGAGCTGTTCCAGCAATTTCTGTTTTTGTTTCTGATTTACAGCATCCGCAGTTCTTTCACTTTTTTACAGTTAGGATATAGTCTCAGGTTGGTGTCTCGTCTCAGGTTGATGTCTCATCTCAGCCAAAAACTCCAAATTCCACTTCAAATAAATTATATTTGGCACGACTGATACTATCCAAAGAATGGAATAACAAGCTAATCCTAGTATCGATCCAAAGCTTCCTTTTATGAAAGATAAATTGCAGAATTATGCAATATGCAGCAATGTTTGTTAAGTGAAATTCATTCCTTAAATTTGATTAAATTTAAGTTCTGTTTGAGCTTTTGTCTTTTAATTAATCTTTCCCATGTGTCCAGTGACCTGTATTTGACCAAATTACTGAATATAACCAAACAGTTTAAGAGCATCACAACTATTAATCAATTTAACAGCACAAAACCCAGCACATCTGCATTCTTTTTTTTCAATTCTGAAGCATCATATTGGACCTGAAATGTTAACTCTGTACTTGAAGCAAATGGGTTTCTAAGGGGTCTTGGAAGAGGAGGCATGGAGAGGATGTTTCTTCTTATGAGAGAATTTAGAACGAGGGGATCGCTATTTTAAAATAAGGGGTAGCCCATGAATGAATGATTTATGGTCACATGTATTTGACAGTGAAATACAATAAAATGCAGTGAAAAGCTTTCATTTGTCATCATAAATGGGCACCATATTGATGTTTAAGAGTAAGAGAAAATGAAAAGATATTGCTTAGAGAGAAGTCACGGTGGCTCAGTGGTTAGTACTGCTGCCTCACAGCACCAGGGACCTAGGTTCAATTCCACCCTCGGGCGACTGTCTGTGTGGAGTTTGTACATTCTCCCTATGTATGCATGGGTTTCCTCCCACAGTCCAAAGATGTGCAGGTTAAGTGGATTGGCCATGCTAAATTGCCCGGAGTGTTCAGGGATGTGTATATTAGGTGGGTTATAGGGGGATGGGTCTGGGTGGGATGCACCAAGGGTTGGTGTGGACCTGTTGGGCCGAAGGGCCTGTTCCCACACTGTAGGGATTCTATGATTCTATGACGTCCATCTATGTACATGTTCTGAACTGGCTCAGAACCACCACTGCCTCACCAGACCCGACTAATGTCAAAGTTACTGATTGTCAGGTGCCATCTCTCACTGCTGGGTCAATTCACCTTTGCCACTGCCTGTGACGGGCAAACCAACATTGGAGACAATAGACACAGTTGATGTTACTGTGGTGCCCTTCCACTCCCAGCCAACAAAGAAGTCGCTGATCCTCAAGTGTTATCTTTCGCCACTGGACCTACCTCACTGGCATCAATTCAATGTTCACACTCCACCATGCTAGGCTAACTCCCCTCCACACTGAGCACTCTCCCCATTTGAAACAGAGATCTATCTTCTTTGCAGGAATTCCTTGGAATCCCTACAGTGTGGAAAGAAGCCATTCAGCATCTCATGTCTACACTAAACCTCCAAACCAAACCCAGCCCCCCACCCTATCCCTGTATTTACCGTGGCTAATCCACCTAACCTGCACATCCCAAGACACCACAGGACAATTTAGCATGGCCAATCCACCCTAACCTGCACATCTTTGGACTGTGATAGGAAACCAGAGTAGCCAACAGAAACCCACACATACACGGGGAGAATGTACAAACTCCACACAGACGGTCACCCAAGACTGGAATCAAACCCAGGTCCCTGGCACTGTAAGGCAGCAGTGCTAACCACTGAATCACCGTGCCAACATTCTTTTCTCTCACTGTTCTCTTGGAGAGC